GAGCAAGCGCGCTCGCATATTTCAGTAACCAAAATACTCGACGCCAGGCGCTGCAGTCTCCTTAGGCCGCGCAGTGTTAGCTCCGTGGCTAATACGAGGCCATGGCCAACAGGTGAACGAAAATGGTGACCCATCTTAAGGAAGTACCTTTGAACGCTTTTGGGCACCGCATTGTACATTTAGATATATTTCGGGCGTATTTTTCACCTGTGTGGTTCTTAGATTGATGACAATAACCTATTGGTCTTTACAGCCCCGCGAAGTGGTGCAGGAATCTGGTGGTGAAACTGGAAGAGTAAGGACAAAATCTCTATTTTTGGTGTGGCTGCAACTGTTCAGAGTTGTTGTTAAAATGTTCGCCCAGTGTAATCTTTGAACTGTGCGAATTCATTTCGAAAGATATTCAGAAACTTCATTTTACGGTAGCCATTGCTGGCGCTCGGCGCCCGCCCCCTGGTGTTGCTTGCACTTGCCAACACCGTCCAGTTTTAAGAAAACTGCGAACCAAGCCGTCGCTTTCCTCACTCCCCGAGATTAGGGGTGTGCCATTGGGGCCTTAGGACGCACTCAGCTGCCGGAGCTGTATGGTGCCGCCAGCCTCTCATTCTGGAGGGAAGGACGGGCAATGCGGAGAATCGAACTCCGCATCCGTGATTTCCCAGACGTGCAGTAGCTAAAGCAGGCGTATTAACCACCACACTATCGGCACTCGGCGCGCATGCTAAAACCTTTTGATGGTATTTGTTTAACTATTCGATTCGTCAAAATAATGAACGTTCTCACGCAAACACGGGATGGCGTTGTGCGCAAACACTAATGAGATCTCTTACATCCTTCCGGTAAGGAAGCCCCGTGAGTGCAACACTACGGGGCACGTTGTTGTTCCCAGTCAAGGGCTAATGCGCCATTCCGTCCCACCGCGGTGTGTCTTCTGGCCGTCATTTTGGCGACACGGGGCAGCTCCCCTGGCCGATCCTGACGCCCTTAGCGGGATAAATCACATCACGTTGGTCCACTTTCTGACGTGGGAGGCCTTCCGACCCGCGCCGTTGACCTTAGGTCGACGCATGAACCGTCATCAACTCAGCAACATCCTTGTTCACCGCAGGTGGTCAAATAACTGACACATAGACTCCAGGTGGGCTTAACAGATCAATGCTGCAATAAGCTTGGAGGGTCTACCGTTCGGTACCGAGGACACTGAATGGCACAACTCTTTTATTGCCTCAATGTGAGCACTCATCATAGGTTCTTGTTTCTTTCAGTTGTCAGAGGGTCCCGACCAACGCAAGAGACCCTCTGCCTTTCGAGCTCCCGTCCCCGTCCCTGTTGTGCGAATCTTCTTCTGACCAATTTGAGGACCCTCTTTGATACAGAATAACCACAGCACCCTGTTAAGTACTGCGAGGCCCTGAACAATACAGGAGCCCGACCAAAGTGAAATGCGCGCCCGGCCTTGTTCCTGCTTGGAAAATGGGCCACGAGAGCTCAGATCGACATGGAGCTGACTGTTGAGCTGACTGACTGTCGACTCAGCTGACTGCTGAGCTGACGTTGTTCGTGATCTCTGGCCGAAATAGAGGAGCGCTCTGTCTCAGGGGTCCTTACGGGTGCAAGAGATCATCTTACTGACATTTGAGATCACGGCCCTATGGGCGGAGGTCCTTAATGTGACTTACAGCCAGACCATTGGGCCTTTCAGCCATCCTTTGATTTTTGGTCTCGAGACCCTTCGGCCCCTCTTCGGGCCCCCTCAAACACCGCTCCGATCCGTGGTCAATTGCCATCACAGGACCCCTGTTCGGCACTGTGGTCCCTAATCGACACAGGAGCCCCTTATTATGTCAGGGACCCCGAACATTGCACATCGCGGACCCCGGTCTCGCTTCTGTCTGGACAATCGGTCTCAAGGGCTCAGACGGACATGGAGCCGACTGTTCGGTGTAGGTGATCTCTGACCGGCTTAGACACTCGCATTGTCTCAGGGATTCCTCAAACGATGCAAGAGGACCTCCGATTGATATTTCAGGTCATGGCCCTGCGGGCCGCGATTCTTTTTGTGAACTACAGCCAGTCCTTCAGCCTTCATGCCCTCCAACCGGGCCTTTGATCGCTGGTTCCAGTGGGCGGCCCGGGTCCCTCTTCGGGCTTCATCGAACGCTTCTCTTGGTCAGCTCGGGGCTCTTGTGAACATAGGACCCTCTGCTAGGCGCTGTGCACCCCTGACAGATACAAAGCCCCAGATCAGTGTAAACCACTGGCCCCGAATTCATAACTGATTGAGAAGTGGGCCCTCAGACCCACACCGACACGGAGCTGACTATGTGGTACGGTGGTACCTGCCCGACATATGGGCGCATATCGGCTCAGGGGTCCCCAATCGGCGTTAAGGGCCCTCTGATCGTTATTTGAGGGTACTTCTTCGCGGATCAGGGCCCCTAAATAAAACTTCAACTAGCCCTTTATACGTTTAGATCCTCCAATCGGGCCCTTGATCGTCGGACCGGGTGGGCCCTCTAGGCTCTTCGGGTCTCCTCGAACACCGCCTCTGTCGTAATCGGGGTCTCTTGACAACACAGGGCCCCTGATGGCACTGTGGGGCCCCGAGAAATGTAAATCGCTGATCCCGGCTTTGTCACTGTTTGGGAAATGGCTCCTTAAGCCCATGCCGCCACACAGCTGACTATGCGTTACTGGTGGTGTCTGGCCAAAGTATGAACCGTTATTGACTCAGGGACCCCTGATCAGCGTGCAGGGCCCTCCGGCTGGCCTTACAGTGCCGGCCCTGCGGGCCGGGGTTCCTAAATGAGACCTCCGGTTGGCCTTTCGGGCCCTTCGGGTCCTGAAATCGTGCCCTTAATCGTAGGTTCAGAGGGGCCCGAAGATCCCGAACTCACTTGCGGAACCTAAGGGGGGGGGGGGAGGCACGTGCCCGCTGTGACCTTGCCGCCTGCGCTACTGGGTACAGTGCAGGCAGTGACCAATTGAACTACTTTTGCATGGAAAGTTTCAGACCAGGTGCCGAGATTTATTGTTCATGCTTATTAACATCCGGCGTAAATAAATGGCTTTCCATTCACTTGCGTGGGGAGTAGCGTGGGGTCATAGCGTGGGGAGGGTCTTCTATCAGGAATACTCACTCCGATTATAATTTTTGGGCAACTGATTGGGGCCGATGCCTCCACTGTCGTCAAATCTGAAAGTTTCCGCTGTTATAGCAAAACTGAGGTCCCCATGCAAGTTGACTGATTGGTATTTTGGCAGGCCGCTTCACTGTCTTTATCAAATTGGTGCATGGAACCGCATCGCAAAGTTCATGTTGGGTGAAGCATTTGAGAATGTCTGCCGACAATCATGAACTTAGTCGCACATGAAAGAGCACTCCACCCATGTGGATCACAGATAGATCGCTTGTGGAAAGCTGAAACATATTTACAGTTACATAGCACGATTTTCCATACTGTTAGGATGGCTCTCCTCCCGTCCCAGCTCTGCCATCGGCTACACCACTTTTAAAGTTACGCATTCCCTGCAAGTGAGGTCGCTGTTTCCTATGCTACACCCACCGCAGGAACGACGATTTTGACGTATTTTTTTAAATTCCCTCGTTAATGTCTTCACTTACGGCAAGCACATAATGAGGTTGACAAAATTCCCTCGGTAGTTTCCGTGCCTGCGGCTAGCACGTAATGGGGCCAGTGAACATGCCACTTAGCTTCTTCGAACATATCTCGTCCGCCGTTTGTGGACCAATAGTTCATGATTGGGCGCGGGACATGATGCATCGATTACGGCTCAGGTTGGTCTCCAGCACCAGCCATGTGAGCCAGCCAGCGGTGACGGTCATCACATACTTAAGTGCTGTTAGCAGTTATTGGTGTTTGATGTTATTTTGTTGACCACGCTTTTTAAATGGTACGAAAAATCTTCAAAAACAAAATCCGTTTATGCGTAATAGCCAGTGCGAGCATGCATTTTCGGGATCTTTAAATTGCAACGATTACAGCATTACGAATCCTGTGATCGGGACTGGAGCTTCGGCTGGATCGGGAGTCCCACTCAAGGGCGCGAACTGTCGTCTACTTGTATACCAGCACTAAGTCACATGGTCCCGTGACACGGCCGTCGGTTGCCCGTAACATTGGCTTTAAAGTTGCACCACGAGATGCGCAGGAGTCGTCTGATTGGACAGGAGTCGATGACGTCAGTGAAATAAGTGACCCTGTGGCCGCCGAAGGGATGGCATGCGCTTGGTCCCACCAGCATTGACGATGATCTCGCCGTTATCCTAGGATCGGCAGCCCCAGATGGGATAACGGCACCCGCTGCTGGTGTGCCGCGGCCAGCTGCACCCGCAGGTGAACAGCCTCAACAGCCAACAGCTTCTCTACTGCCGGCCTGCTGCTGGCCAGACCGGACGCCGGCTACTGCCGCTGACGGGCAGTTCTGCTAGACGTATTCGGTGGGGAAGCGCCCGAACACCTGTGTTTTCTGCGTATCTCAGACGTTTGAGTAAAACAATTATGCTGACCTCAGTCATATAACCCTTCCCGAGTTAAAGCTAGAGCTTGTTCAGAGCTCGGCCCAGAGTATGTGGAGAGAAACACTGGAAACGCCGGCAAGCTGGGCTATGCACCCGAAACCTGTAAACGAAGATGCAGCTCAAGAATTGGTAATCGGGGCATACCAGGAGCTTCGTGGACGGTGCCAGTGCATTGGATATTCTCACCCCGGATGCAGGATTTCAGGGCCGTCTTTTTCTGATGGCAATCACATGTGTAGCCCTGTTCTTACTGCATTTTGACAGAGCGAGGAGTTACGACATAACAAGCACGATCACGGGATGGCGATTTGGCTCGGTCAGATTGCGCACGCGAATCGTTTACAGAAGCCGGCGCGCTTGGAAACCCCCTTTCGACTGAGTCCTGCGAAGACGGTCGGGTCCGTCGACCCTCAAAACGTGCAATAGAACGCATCACCCCAAAAACAGCTTTTGCGTTGTTTGTAGCCATTTATTTTCGTTCACCAGCGCGTGACTAACACCATTCAATATCTCCTCGGCACTCCGCTCCCAACTAAGACTTCCATGACTAAGACTCCCATCCCAGAACCACTCTGCCGCCCTTATGCGCCACCATTACCAGCTGCAGCCGACACCCAGCCCTCCTCCACACCCTCCTCTGCGTCACGACACTGCGCGCGGCGGCCGCCGGGTGGGCCGACGTCGCCGCGGCGCCGGCGGCCGACCGTGGCCGCGCGGCCAGCCTGGCCCGGCCGGTCACTGGGCGGCGGCCATCTGCGGGCAGTGCGGCTCCTGACAGGCGGGTGCGGCCCGCACCCGGCAGCCGGCGCGCTCGAACTCCAGCGGCTGGTGGCAGTACAGGCACTCCTGCGGGGAGACACGCAGGGTGGCTGTCAGACGCTGCACACCGGCGGGGCAGTCGGGCGGGGCGCGCCGAGTCCTCCAGACACAGGTCACAGCGGCAGGGGCAGTCGGGCGGACAACGCCGAGTCCTCCTGGCACAGGTCACACAGCGGCAGGGGCAGTCGGGCGGAGAGCGCCGAGTCCTCCAGGCACAGGTCACAGCGGCAGGGGCAGTCGGGCGGACAACGCCGAGTCCTCCAGGCACAGGTCACACAGCGGCGGGGTCATACCGCTGAGAGGGCACCACGAACACGGCCGCGATGAGGTGGGATGAGGTACACAAGTATGGGAGACTGTGGGGGGCAGCACGTGGCTCCCCTGCGACCGGCAACCAGCGCCCCGGCCGGCCCTCGGAGCGTGGCGCGGCGACCCGACAGGTGGCGCTGCAACCGCCGCCAGACAGAGGCGCGCCGCTTCAGCGACAGCGGAGTTGAGCGACTGCACGTTCAGCTCGTGACCGCTTCACGCGGAGAGCAAGCGTCAGTCATGTCACCGGGCCCTTCCGCGACACAGCTGGTCAGCGCCTCTTGTCATCCTCCACACGTACGCCAAACGTGACGACCCAGCGGCCCTGGGCAGACCCTGACCTTGAGGCAGGCGTTGTTGTTGAGCTTGAGTCCCTCCTGCAGCCAGATGTCGACCAGGTCGGCGGCGAAGCGGTCGATCATGTCCGGCGTGTGGTGAGGGGTGGGCGCAATACGCAGCTTCTCCTGACCCCGCGGCACCGTCGGGTAGTTGATTGCCTGCGGAGAGGGAGGGAGAGGAGGGTCAGCATGGAGTCAGAAGACAGTGCCACCAAAGCCATGTGGATGCCACTCCACGATTTGAACGATGACATTGATCGGATAAATACTACGCTACCCGACATAGAGCGAGGAGCTCGTAACAGAAATGCGGAAGGCTTGAAGTCTCACGACGAAACAGTGCTCTTCGCGGATTAATTTTCAAGATCCTGTCCCAAAAAATCCACAAATTTCAACCTCAACCAACCAACAATCCTCCCTTTGTCAAATTTCAACAACCCAACCAACAATCCTCCTTTAAAAAAAAAAATCCGCCTCATGCCCCCGTCACACCCAACACCCAACACGAGCCCCACGGCGGCAACGCCAAAAACCGTCCCCGCCCCTGCCTTGACCAGCCGCAGCACAGCACACCGCCTGAACGCCCGCCCGCCCGCCACCTGAGCCGGCGGCGCGCTGTCGGCCGCGGGCCGCACCTGGACGTAGTGACCGCGCTCGGCCAGCAGCCGGTCGGAGATCCGGGACGAGGTGACCGGGTTGCCCACGTGCACCGGGATGATGTGGCTCGGGCAGTGCTCCGCCGGTATGCCGGCGGCCGTCAGCGTGTCGCGCAGCTGGCGCACGTTCTCCTGGTGACGTCACGTGCCGTCAGCGGAAGATGGGTCACACGCCGGCGTCACACGGGCGACGACGGCGCGTCAATGGCGTGGTAAGTGACAGTTGGAGTACTTGCCAACAGCTGAAAACGCGCCACGGCACGGCAAGATCGGGAGTGCAACAGGTGCCACCATTTCCGGTCGTTCTTCATCGTCTTACGTTAGAATTACATTCGAATCAAATTATCAGACCCTCATCAGCTTTCAGGTAACAATGAACAGCAAAGTACCGGAGTCCTTGACGTGGTACTCGTAGGTGTTCCTACGTGGACCAGCGATGTGCAGGTGTGACAATAGATCACGAACACATGATGGCGGTGCAGTTGCTGGCTGGTGACAATACCGAAGCCATGCTCAGAGTGACAACCAGCGTCGTTTCTTCCCATCCAAAGCACTTATTCCGTCGTCACAGCCGGTCGTGACCTTAACGGAGCAGGCACCTGGTCGGACCCAGGGCGGCCCATCCTGACCTTGCCGAAGCCAGCCCCGTGCTGACCCGACCCGAGGTGACCCCTGCTGACCTGGTGCGTGGCGCGCAGCTGGCGGCCCTCATCGGTGCGCAGCACGCGGATGGCGGCCAGCGCGCCGGCGCACACCGTCGGCGGCAGCGAGGTGGTGAAGATGAAGCCGCTGCCGTAGCTGCGCACCACGTCCACCAGCGACGCGGAGGCGGCGATGAAGCCGCCCACGTTGCCGTAAGCCTTGCCTGCCGGACACGCCAGCCGACGCCGTCAGTGGGGAGTTGGCGTTGGCCTCAAAGGCGAGGCCTTCGTAGAGTTCGGAGGGTCGTGATACAAAAGCGTGCTAGAAGTCGCCAGCTCGGCATTCAGCTCGACAAGAAGCTGGAAATTCGCCTAACAATGCGACCGTATGCGCTCAGGCTTGCTTTGGATGTACAAGAAACGCGCATAACGTTGATGAAAGGGAACACGTTGACAAAATGGATGGCCGAGAGTGCACTATAAGATGAAGACATTCAAGTCCACGATCTATCGTCTAACTACCTAGCGTTCCAGAAATTATGTCCATTTTGTCTAGAACTTGGTCCCGTTCTCCGATTCCAGCTCCGTTCTCTCCGTAGAGGCCCACGGCGTGCACCTCGTCCACAAAGGTCAGAGCCCCGTACTTGTGAGCCACCTGTTGGAAGAAGCGTGAACTTAGCTGCCGCACACGGGTCGCTTTTTTCCACCTCATAATGGAGCGGGAAGACCATGTGACACATATGTCTTGCACTGTGGAGCCCGAAATAAACTAAATATGACATACGATGCTCGCAAGGAGCTTCCCAACGTTGGAACTGCACAACGACGGCCACCATAATCCAGAACCATTTCATTAACAGCGAACCCAGTTTAAGCTGTGCAACCAGAAAATGCCCCACCTAGCAGTCACCTTAAACTGAACGTTTAACCCCCCCCCCCCTACCCCCGAGGGAGCAACACCTCTCCTCCCTCTGCCTCCGACCTGATCACCCCCAGAACCTCTGACCTCCCCTCATCGCCCCGTCCCCGAGCTCACATCGCAGAGCGTCTCCAGCGGGCAGACGGCGCCGGTCATCGAGTGCACCGTCTCGAAGGCGACGATCTTGGGCCGGGCCGGGTCGAGGCCGGACAGCACCTCCTCCAGGTGCTCGGGGCTGTTGTGCCGGAAGATGAACTTGTCGACGCCAGAGTTGCGGATGCCCTGGATCATCGAGGCGTGGTTGCCGGCGTCCGAGAGGATCTGACAACCTGCGCGCGACGAGGGGGGGGGGGAAGGGCGTCAGGCGGGGAGGCGGCGGCACAACGAAGCGTCACGCCACGCCGTGTCGCCACCAGGCAGCGCCGACCCCGCCTCTCCCGAAGCATCGCGGCATTCCCGCAGCACCCGATTGCAAGGCTCGGTTCAAGAGCCGACGACTGAGCGCATCCTGCGCACCCGTCGAGTAGAGCTGCTCCCACGAAACAGACGCCGATAGGGCCGGCGTCCGCCTTCCGGGGATGTCCTACCGTGGGACTGGCCGTTCAGCACCGCGGTAAACAGATAATGACATGATCGCCAACTCTGACACCAACACAGCGATAATAGAGGTCGTGCGAAGAGTAACGCAATCTCTCCCAGGATTTCCACCGCTCGTCAGCCGCGGGCGTCCCACATCCCGACGTCATTCAGCGAGCGATAACACGTTCAGGTCAGGTCTCCTGCGTCTAACGAACTGGACCCCAGCGCCGTCCAGTCCTCCGGTGAATACTGGTCGCCCCCCCCCCCCCCTAGCCGGTCCTCCCCAGAGCGCACCGCCGGGCCACTGACCGGGCAGCGAGCGTGCCAGCGTGAACAGGGTGGTGTCGTTGGCCACGTAGCAGGACGTGAACAGCAGCGCTCCGGTCTTCTGGTACAGGTCGGCCAGCTCCCGCTCCAGCTCCTCGTGGAAGAGCGTGTTGCCGGAGATGTTGCGCGTGCCGCCGGCGCCAGCGCCGTGCTCTAGCAGGGCGCGGCTGTGGAGGGGGGGGGGGGGGGGGCGGAGCGGGTCAGCTGGCCACGCGGCCGTGGAATGTGGCCGATTCGTCTGGCTCTAGTGAGCCGCCTCACGCTCAGATCAACATGTGCGTCAGACTACACAGGGCTGAGTAATGCAAGCAGATGTGGCAATGTTCAACTCCGGGCAAACATCCGGGGGCATAAGGGTCATGACCGGCCAGGCCAGACAGGCCATATAAGGACAATGCTAGACGTCCGGGTTGCGTACCTACCCACTTGACTTGTGATTCGGCGAATGGCTACGCTTCCACGTGATTGGCAAGTGGGTCTTAAGCAAGAGCCCAATACCTCCAAGATGCATGTGGGGCGACAGTACACCACAGTCTGGTGTACCCGAGATACAAATACGACTCCGATGACGGCCGGATGTCGGGACATGCCTCGGTGTTCCTTACTGACGCGACAGCAACTCAACAGCTCCAATGACGGTCGGGTGACGGGACTTTCCCGGGTGTTCTCCGCTGACCTGACAGGGGCTCACCTGACAGCTCCAATGACGGTCGGGTGACGGGACATGCCCAGGTAGTCGTTACTGCACCAGACAGTGACATCCCGCCTGCCCTGGGAGAACTCCGCTGCCGCCGGGAACTGGTCCGCGCTGCGCAGCACCTGGGGTCACACGGAGGGTCAAACGCCCGGTCACGACGAGGTCGATCGAGCCAGGGCACACGCGTGACACACCGGTGAGTTCTAAATATTTGCTCTGGACTAAAACAAGGCTTGTATCAGGAGCATACAGGGGGCATTACCAGAGTGGTGGGTCTGAAGATGTCAAACCTATCTACAACGGAACGGAAACAGACTGCAGGAAATGCCGCGATGGGCAGTGATGACCGATAACATTGGAATAAGAGGCATAGAAGCGACGATGATCGTGGGCCATTACCAGCGGTCACGGGCCATTACCAGCGGTTACGGGGCGGGAACGGGCCATTACCAGCGGGCCATTACGGGCCATTACCAGCGGTCACGGGGCGGGAACGAATCTGTGGATCACGAGCGGCAAGGCGTCACATCAAAAAAAGAAAAACATGCAGCGGCTTCACCACCAGCCACGGGTATTTCTGGGAGGTGCATACATCAAACTGAGGTCAAAAGGGTCTTCAAAAGATGCCTACCTTCTTGAAGATCCGGTACGAGTGGTCTTCCTTTTTCTTACGGATCTGGTCACGGAAGAATCCCTCGTAATCAAACGCTGCGGACAAGGACAGTAGTAAATAGCCATATCCTGGCAGGAGACGGGCAGTGGAGTCTGATCCTGGATCCCGGATGATCGATGGCAGTCAGCACTACCTTACCTTTCGCAATCGAGTTCAGGCCGTTATATCAGTCGCAAATTTCTCATGAAATAGCCACGTATAGCGTTACAGGTGCTGCATGATTGCGTGCACCAACAGGCCTTTTGCACGACCCATTTTGGCGCACTTCTTTCGTGTATGCTACGAACTCAAGGTGCACATATTTCCGCAGCGATTAGCCAGAAACAGTGTTAGCACATTATTTACGGACAAAGAAACGTATATATACCTCGCCATCAATCATGAAGAAAATATATGCTGACAATAAGACGTCCCACACAGAAAAAGTCAGAACAAAAATAATGCGTTGCAAAATGCATGCAATGGAAGCAGATATCGACACCATCATACGGACATTTTCCGATGCCCAATTGATCAACTCTGTAGCATGCAGCGGTTTCCCTATGTCATGAAAAACGTGACAGACCATGGCCAAAATGCATGTGCGCAAGTGCCCACAATGCCACGTTAGAAACCCAAACAAGCATTAAAAAACACATTCCCGCATTGGACGTTCGTGGCGAGCCAACAAAACAAGCATGAAATCTAAAACAAAGTGCGATCCACGTAAAGGTTCATTCAACACCGGCCAGCGCAACATCTATCTCACGACGGCCATAATGCAGCATGCCGACAGCGTCAGAAAACTTCATGCTGGTACCAACCATCGACATCTACGGAAAACAACAACATCTGCAGCAACCGCAGAATCTACGGCAACCATCGACAAGTACGACACACGGTCTAAAGGGCTGACCTCGACACCCCGCTGGCGTCGAACCTCGGCACAGTTCGGCGGCACGGCCCGGGGCTGCCGAAGAACTAGGTCAGGGGCGCCAGGCGTGCGTGTGCACAGCCAAGACGGCCGCGCTGGGGGCCGGGCTGCGACCCCGGCACGTACCCGCATTACGGAGATGGTGAGTTAGTTTGAAATCAGGGGGTCAACCAGGTCCATTACTGATCAACATTTATCTTTTTTCCGGCGACGACAGCATTTCTTCGCTGTGTCTCTGTAATCTGTATCCCACTTAAGGCAGTGACCCTCCCTGAGATGCAGCCTCCTCTCTCCTCCTCCCCCCCCCCCCAAGTGGGGCCAGCCCTGTATGTTGGTTGAGCTCCTCTGGGAGACAGGCTCTGACCCTCGTCCCCAGACTCACGCTCGGTGACGGAGATGGTATCGCTGAAGGCGTCCACCGTCGTCTCCTTCACGATCCCCGCCGACTTCTTGTCGTGCAGGAAGGGACACTTGCTCGCCGGACCTGCCACACCATATGCCAGCGTCACATCACCAGTTCGCGCAGGCGTCACGCCCAGGTCAGACCGTCACCGGCTGGACACTTGGCTGGTGGGCCGACCCATGTGAAATCATCAGTAGTGCAGCCACGCCCAGTAGCAGTCAACTGGTTCCACATGGGCGTGACTGGCCAGGTGATTACCGAGCCTCATGACCTTGAATGCACAGGTGACTGACAGGGCAGCTGGCCCTGATTATAACACATGACCTCTCTCTTCCGACCTTGGCCTGCCAGTTCGACCAGTCTAGTGACCCCAAGCAGGCTACCTGATCCCTTCACTGGCTCTGGCTGGGACAATTATGCCAGCCCATTGAGCCTGACAGGTCGGCGCCAATCCCCTCCACTGACCTGGCCCGGTAGCGGCCGTGCCCAGCTGGCGGGAGATGATCGGGCAGCTGGCGCCGTACTGCGAGGCCAGTCGGCCACCATACGTCTGCAGGTACTGGGCCGGGAACATCCGCAGGAACGGACACCGGGACGTCATCATCAGCTGTTTGGTGGCGCCTGCAAATAGAAAACATGGACTGGTCATGCGGTGTGGACAGTGAGGTGATATTTGATCTCTTGAGTGGCAAGCATGAAGTTCTTTTCTGCAAAAAAATGTTATGCCAAAAATTCTGAGACAGCAAGAGCATACATCTTGGCAGGAATTTCAGCACATGTACCCAGCAAATGGAGCGCTCGAAATTCAGCACATACTTGCCGTCAATTTCAGCTCAGAATTTAGCATCCAACTGTCACCAATTGAAGCAGCCTAAAAGCCCATGTTTCGACGAATGATGTTGATGCAGAGGTAGCTATTGGTGCACATTCTCTGAAAAACAATTCTGCATAAAAATACCTTGCAAAATTCGTGTGAATATACCCGGGCTGGGTGGATGATAACCCAATTCCCTCGGCAACAGGTGGCACCTATACCCAATGCACATATTTTTTGCACATTGGCACAAGGGCACGTTTAACACGCATTCAGGTGGTGGTGGGGGTGGGTCAAATTGATCCCCTGAACGTTTTTTCCGGAATACTTTCCGAACGGCGCGAGGTAGCCGCGCCAAATTTTGCGTGGCTGCAGACAACTGAATAGTGGATCATTTGGCATCACAAATTTAAACATATCCTGTAAGGTCATTGACCTCTGACAGATCAAAGTCAGACCATGTTTTCAGCAAAGGCAATTCCTAGGAAATCATTCAGTCTAATCCCACAACTGTGTTAGATGAAGCCTTACATCTCAGAAACACCTTCATGGGCAACACAACACTTGAATGAACAAATTATGTTGACCAAGGGTCAGGTATGATGGTTAGATTAAGGTCAAAACCAACCTGTCTTATTACTCTAGGGCTTACTGTATGAGGTAGTTTGTGGTGCTTATTTTGAATTCATTGATAACAAGAACTGCATCATACACCTTCCAAAAACTTCCTCATGGTCAGAATACATCATTGACCTAGAATGACCCAGGCCAACATTTTGTTTTTTTAGGAACTTACTACCTAGCACAATCTTTGCTGCTTATCCAAATGCAAAACTCAAAGAAATCTTGCATGAATTTGGTCAGCATGACCTAAAAAAGGTCCACCAAGGTCAATGACCTTACATGAGCAAATGACCTTTTCCTTACTACAGTTATCTAGATTCTAGAGGCCCTTTAGAAACCAATCTGGAATCTGACTTTGTTTGACCTTATTTGACCTGAATGTCCTGACCTAGGAACTTCAAACTTTGACTTAAGTGAGTTCACATACAGGTCAACATGCCCTGTGAATTTGGCATCTCTAGCTCCCTTAGTTCTTGAGATCTCGGGTGTGGGTCAAATTGCCCCCTCCACCTGCACAAGGGGTATCGGGCAGGCCACCGGGGGATGTGTTACAACTTCATGGGAGGGGTACAGCTCAAAATCATTACAAGAAAATAAATGTATGCATGGCACTGTAACAGGACTTCTCTTACATAACATATAACAGCATCACATGTTTTCAATGAACTTGTGTTTGCATGAGTCATCATTTTTTAAAAAAATTCCCAACAATTATTTTGTGTTAATTAATATGTAAAACTTGATAGGAGGTGCATGCTGCTGATGCCTTCAATAAACAAAATGATACATACTCTTGGTGCCTGGTGCCTTCCTGCTGGGGATGTATTTCCTAATCCAGTCAGACCTTTAGCTTTGAGAAAAAGTTTAATCATATGAGAAAGCTTCTGTTTCATTTATTTTGCAGGATGTTAAGTATTTTTCCCTGCTGAATCCCCAATGTGCTTTCCCAGCTAGACCTCTGAGCCCACATTTTCCACAATGATACCTTTATGCCTTGACAGTTTTGAGGAAACTGGTGATTCCAGTGACTGAGGGGCCTTGTGGGCCAAGGGAAAATGGGGAAGGGGCTAGGAGAAACACTGGCACAAAATCTCTGAGAGATATGAAGCCTCACTGATCTGGTCTGCACCCCATGACAGATTTTGATGATATATCATTGGATGATAGATGGGCCACATTTCTGACTTGAGGGGACTTATCAAAATTTTGGAGCAGAGATTATTGACTTGCCTATTGAGGGCATTACAGGTTCTATGACATACCACATTGGTAAGAATGCAAAACCTGGTGGCCAATCAAATTTTGTTTTGATGTAAATAAGGCTAGTAAAATCTGCTCCAATAGGAGTAGTTGACTATCCCATTTGAGGCACACAGAATTCTGCTCCAATTCAGAACATCTGGCTGGTATGTTTGCCATAGTTTTCAAACTGAGCATTTGCACTGTACCGCTAAGCGCTGAGCTTTCCTACCCCGCCCATCAGCTGTGGTCCTAGGCCATTCTAAGGTCTTTAAGACTACCGAATTACAGTCATGGACATAACACACCACCCAATCCAGACCTTACCAAGCGGGACGAACGCCTTGCGTAACACTGATCGCGAAGACCGCTGCATCGAGTTGGGACTTATCAGGGCTTGATGTTTAGGCCATCTGCTGCCTAGTAAGGTAAAATGTACTTACCCAGTTCCACCCAGATGGCAGAGGAAAGGAGAGACGACATTTGTCATAGGTGGCGGTGTAGGCAGTCCTGCACGATATAGCCCAACGCAACCTACTGGCTACCGAACAGATGTCTGAAATATCATAACAGCACGCGATTTGTGTATCATTGAGCAAGCTTTAAGAAATTCATGCCGTCACTCAGTGACATTGACTCACGCTTCAAGGGAGAAGGGCATGCATTAATTAATTCCGATATATAGTTGAATGTAACGATGACGGTCTCGCACAGCGCGGGCAGTTCAGCCCTCACTATTGCCAATACGTTTGGCTGTTGCAATGACGTGCGTGAACAGCGGCATAGCCAGGACTTTGCCCACGAGGAGGCCATATGGGATCGTAAGACTCTTCTACCCAGGGGCCTCCTCTTCGTGGCAGGCCGTCCGTTATTTTTACTCAGGGGACCCTTTTAAGCTTTGTCCGTTATTACTATTCAGGCGACCTTTTTAAGATTTGATTTCTTAAGGGCCCTGTTTATGTTTTACCAGTCCACGGGTGCTTCTGACTGCCAATTAGCAGTGGGGCATTCAGCCTCAGGAGGGTACGACCACCTCCAGGAGGCCATAGCCCACCAAACCCGATTCTCTCGGCTTTACCACCGGGCGTGAATTGGAGCCGACCTGAGATTACCCACCAACTGCAGTACGTACTATAACACGTGGATTCGTGAAAAGCGTGGATTCTATCACGCTACTGCGCTGTTTAAGAGTTCGCGTTCGACATCACGAACCATGACTCTCAGCGGCTTTGACGTATCGCAGAAACATTGCATGACGCGCAGCAGAGTGGCCGATCATCTGAGCGAAATATGTGTATGTGCACGCGTGGGTATGTCGTGGTGAACGTATGCACCAGTGAGTGATGTGTGTAGGCGCATATATGAATGTGTGATGTGTGTGTATGATTACCGGCGTGATTAGAGGGTCGCATGGTTCGCATTCTACGGCCACGTAAAAGCTTAAAAAGCGGCAATGACAGTTTCAGTTCGCAGTGCCTAATCTAATGCTCATATTCGCAACTTCGCTTTTCTTTCATAACGCTCACTCTGTTATTCAAGGCCATCCTAGCAACAAAAAAGCCAGGTGGATCGAGGATTTGAATATCGGTGGATCAAGATTGCGGCCACGGCCTACGTTTGAGCCGAGATGCGGAATTGACGCATCGACGGCGGATGAAGCCATTTCAACGAGGGAATCTCTTCAAGCTTAAGGAGGACTGGTCTGAGGAAAATAAAGACCCTCCACAGGATTCGGTTAGTGATGACATCGCATGGCGTTTTGCTAAGGATTTAGGAGCAGATGAAAAGACGCCTTTTCAAAAACTCAATTTTTCCCTCTGCTTTAATCGGAACACATTTTCAGCTATAATGTTTCGGAAAAAGGCATCGGAGAGCCAGAAACATATGCTGCTTGGAAACAACGGTCAATGTGGCATTCAAGGTCTATTTGGCTCATGTAGTAACCTGGTTTGACACCGGACATATTTCCCACAAAAACGATGTATTCAGTTCTATTCTATTCCTGTTTGGACCGACAAACCATTGAAAATCAGTTCACTGTCGTTCAGGCTAAAAATAAATCGATGAGATAATTTCCAGACAGGTCACAAGCCGAGTTTCAACACCGGCGGACGTGCGTGGCGGCGCGCGGAGGCCAAGCGCGACCGGGTGGCTCCTTTGAGGTCTGTGACCGTGACCTTGGGCGTATTCAGTTCCACCTTGAAACTCTGGTTGTTGGTAACCAACATCACCCAACGCGGCCCCAGAAATAAGTTTGCTGATTGTTTGCTGTGGACGCCAGCGGACACAAGCTCTCAACTTCACTGTCGGGAGTTAATGGCGTGCCAGGCTCGGCCTACATCAATTCAACTAAACTTCACTTACTCTAGCTAGGTAAACTAAACTAAATAATACAAAGTACACCGTTTGGATCTGCAAAGGGCTCTGGACCGCCCCCGCGTGTCTGGTCTGTGAACGTAATTCTGGTCTTGGAACAGGTAGTGCGCAATGGCTTAGCACAGTCTTTGACTGCGCACGGCCGTCGGGGATGCCGCGGTCGCATGGAAGCGCGCTGCAGGTTCGCAGCACAGCGGTACTTGGTACGAGCTCGGGTGGGAGGGGGGGGGGGGGGGGGGCGGAGACGCGGCGCGCAGTTCGCGACCCGGGGGACGCGATGCTCAGTACGAACGAGCTCCGATGGGTGCGGTACTCAGTACAGACCCAGGGGGGGGGGGACGTCGCGCTCAATGCCAGCCCAGGGGACGCGGTGCTCAGTACGAGCCCAGGGGGATACGGTGCTCCGACTGAATGTCGGAGAGAGGTGTGCTGGCAACGGGACAGCCCGCAGGGTAGTCCAACCGTGCAGCCGCGTGGATCGATTTGGACTGACTGGGGGGAGAAAGGCCTGCTGGCAGCTGGCCAAATAGCGGGCCAGCCTGATAGCAACCGAGTTAGTCCGAGCATA